ATCGCAAAGAATGCTATCCTAAAAGATTTATTTGCGCCCTCTCGATAATGAGAATGCTAAAGGACCAACATACAAATAGGTTTAACAGATTTCAAGTCAAGAAACCGGGTTGCAATTAGCACTATTGAAACTCGAAAAGAAGGAACAAAAAGAATATGAAAATAATTCTAAGTATAACTTGGGAGAATTTTGGGATAATAATTTCAAAGTATAAAAATGAGAATTCGTGTATTTAATCCATGAATTCTATTCCTATTCATAGAATTTCTTCATACACTTTCGTATGTGTGCCAACTTTTCACAAAAAAAGATGGAAATTTGAGGTTGAAAAGGTGCCAAAACTGTCCAACTGTTTTTTCAAATTTTAATCTCTTTCCAAGCACATTTGATCAATTTCTCATTTACCAATATTTGAACACCACAATTATATAACAATCCCCCACTTGTTCAAATATTATAACTCAACATAGAACGGAAGCGCNTGCCAACTTTTCACAAAAAAAGATGGAAATTTGAGGTTGAAAAGGTGCCAAAACTGTCCAACTGTTGTTTCAAATTTTAATCTCTTTCCAAGAACATTTGATCAATTTCTCATTTACCAATATTTGAACAACACAATTATATAACACTTAGTGCTGTCAGTCGCATAATTCGATACTCTGAGTTACTTCTCATCGTGGATTATTTTTTTCCTTTAGGTCTTCTCTAGTCTCTACGTCTTGTTGCATTTAGTGATAGGATTGGGAAGTGTGCCTTGATACGTCGTTTTATTACAGGTTGGTATATGTTTCTTGGTGACTCTTTAATCTTCTAGAATAATAAAAAGCAAGCTCGTGCGTCGAAATTATCGACTAAATCTGAATAACGTGCCATGCCTGCTGTCTGCTCTGAGATTGCCTACCTTCGTAGGCTAATAGCTGAACATAGCTTATATCCGTCTGAAACTGCTCCTCTTCATTCGGACAACACGTGCTATTCAAATTGTTGCTAATCAAGTTTATCATGAACATACGAAGCATATCGAAGTGGATTGTCATTCCATTTGAGAGGCTATTGACTCTCAAGTTATCTCTCTTCCTCATATCTCTACTGATCTTCAATTCCCTGACGTCGTCACCAAAGTCATGACCAGACAACGTCATTTCCTTCTTGTGAGCAAATTGATGCTTCTTGATTATTCAGCATTAATTTGAGGGGGAATGTTAGTTGTAGAGCCTATATTAAGGCCATTGATTTGCGGCTAGAAATATTGTATATTAGCTATAATTCTCTTTATTTGGTGGGTTCATAATTTATTTCCATACATGTATAGATACCATATATGGCTTACTGTAATTAGGAAAACTACATCTACTTATATGAAGGAACTCTCACAATAAGAAGATAGATTAAATCATAATATCATTGCAATTGACACATACTCGATTTTAACATTTTCAAAGATGGAACAAAATCCGTTTTGCATCATATCTAAGGAATTCCTTGGTTCGGACCGAAGAAGCACTATCATTCGATCATTATCAAACTAGCTGCAATCTATATTTTGAGTCTTCATAATCGTGCATTCACCCATCAAGACCACAACAATCAAAGTAAAAGAGAGACTCACGTTTTCTTACTTCTGTCAATAGGCCTTAAAATATAGCATGAGATGATGTCATTAAGCATATAAACAAGAACAATAAAACCAGATCAAAAAAAGTTAATCAGATATGTCATCTTTCAGGAGAAATAACATAACATTTTGTTGGATATCTTTACTTTGAAACCACTTGGGACAAAGAATAAAGCAAGAAATATGATTATGCTTAATAGTAATACCTAAGCAGCTATTGATTCCGAAAGCATTGCAATTGCCATTCTAGAAGGGAATGCATGTGGATTGATAATAAGATCTGGTCGCAATCCTGTAACTCCAGAAAATGGCAGATCGACATCAGGCCACAACTGAGAGCAAACACCCTTTTGCCCATGACTACTGCTAAATTTATCTCCGATTATAGGATTGCTAGTACGTTGAAGGCGTATGTTTGCTTGCACAAAGGACAAGCGAAGAGCAATCACTATGACCATCACATACAATAAATCTATGAACTGAAATAGTGTATGGCGTGCTCTTTGAGACGGCTATACGAGACACTTTAATTTTATAGAACGATGCTACAATTAGAACTTAAACCAAAATCATGGCTCTTTTTCTGATCCATGTTTCTCCAAGCACGGCTTACCAAATGCATCTCCCAAGAAGGCCATACCAAGTCCTTGTTCGGATTTACTTATAAGTTGCTGAAATTATAACGTGATAGATGTGGTTAAAATTAAACTTTTACATTGACCTTTAAATTATAATGCACTTATAAGTTAATCCAGACAAGCACTAAATATGGCAATTCATATAGAATCTCCAATATGAAAATGACTATTTTCTAGAAACAAAAAGAAAAGAAATTGGTAAAATCTGTTGGATGGAAAGTGGGAGAGAAGCCTAAGC